ACACAAAACCAAAAGAGCAGCTTACCACATTGCTTTTGGAGAAGCTTATGGAGCCAGGAACAGCAGCCGGGTGGACAGGACAGGAGGCTGTTCCTAGGGCTGCCAGCTCTGGGTTGGGAAATACCTGGAGATTTTGGGTATGTAGAGCCTGGGGATGGTGGCGTTTGGGGAGAGGAGGGACCTCAGAAGGCTACAGTGTCATAGGATCCGCCTTCCAAAGCAGCCATTTTCTCTAGGGGAACTGATCTCCGTCGTTTGGAGATCAGTTGTACTACGAGGAGAGCTCCAGGCCCCACCAGGAGGCTGGCAACCCTGTTGCCGTCCCTCAGAACTTGTCACTCAAGTCAGTTCTGCCCAAATCATCTGATGGCTTTAAACTTAGGCTTCCACCGAAATTTCAGCGAAGGTGAAATTCCGAGCGAACATGGGAGGTTCTCTCCAAGCGAGGCCGACAAGGGAGTTCAGAGCCGTTAAAAAGGAAGTTTCATCAACAAAATTCTTCAGGTGCTTCTGCCTGTTCCTTTGGTACACTCAGGATTTTGCCTGCGGCAAAAGTCAAAGTGGTCTGGCGTGTGGTGACACATCTAAAAGAGCTTTTGAGGGCAGATACCCTCCTCCCGCATTCTTTTGACAGAGACTAGCAACATTTCTCCAAATGGTTCCTCCTCACACCCCTAAATTGGTACCAGATTACCTCACGTGAAGTTCAGAGTGAGAATAATCCTCCGGTCAAACTCACGTAGAATTAAACAGTTTTTTTTAAAAAAATAAGACTATCAGAATTTCTGAGAGGGAAGCATTCACTCCTCCCTTACAACCATTTCTCTCTCCAATTTCTTCCTGTGAAGAAGAAGAGGAAGGAGGATGGGCTTGGATACTCCTTCTGGGATTTTATGCTCCAACTGTCAGTTTTTCACTCAAAGGCCTGATTTCAACACGACCCTGGCTGAGGTAAAAGCACTTGCTGGTGGCAGAAAGAGCCACCGATGAGCGCTTTTACCTTTGCCAACATCACATTTAAATCAGCCTTATGTACAGAGCTCGGAAGCAGCCAGAAGGGGGAAACAGGAATAGTTTATTTTAAAAATTAGCTTGCAATTGAGGAACTCGAGAAACCCAGGCAGCCTTCCAAACAAAAATTAGGCAACCCACAAGCTCCCCCTTCTGGTCATTTGTATCCAATGTACACTAACAGGAAGGGCATTTTCTATGCCAACTTCACCAGGCTGTCTGTTGTTATAGTAAAGGTAAAGGTTCCCTTGCTCGAAAGCCAGTCAAATCCGACTCTAGGGTTGCAGTGCTCATCTCCGTTTCAAAGCCAAAGACCCAGCGCTGTCCAAAAACATTTCCGTGGTCATGTGTCCGGCATGACTAAACACCAAGGCGCACAGAACGCTGTTACCTTCCCACCGAAGCAGTACCTATTTGGAGAGGGGAGGGACTACAGCAAATATGTGATGCCATAAGAGTCCCACCCTCAAAAGCAGCCATTTTCTCTGAGAAAACTGATTTCTGTCTTCTGGAGATGAGTTGAATTTCTGGAAGCTCTCCAGACCCCACCTGATGGTTGGCAAACGTACTACCCCATAGCTCCAACTGTAACTTTGCAGAGGAAAATCAAATGGGAGAAAATGTGGGATCTGGAAGACCCTCATTCGACTCCTCCTCTGCTATGGAAGCACGGGCCAGTCGCACACTTAGCCTAACCTACCTCAGAGGTAGGGATACCAGCCTTCCAGGTGGGGCCTCGGGAACTCTTCAAACTACAGCTCATCTCCAGACTACAGAGATCAGCTCCCTTGGAGAAAATGGATCCTTTGGACTCTACGGCATTATACCCTACCGAAGTCCCTTTTCTTCCCAGCTGCACCCCCAAATCTCCAGGGGTTTCCAAATCTGGCAACCCTCCCATCCTCCCCCGCGGCCAGGGGTGTTGTGAGAATAAAACAGATGAGAAGAGGCGAAAGATTTATACGATCTGAAGAGAAGGCAAGAGTTATTAATAGCTAAACACTGGAAATCGGATACACCACTTACAAAGATGCAATGGTATAATAAAATATGGGAGATGTATGTAGTGTGTAGAATAACAAACAATTCCTTCTTTGAGGGAAAAGTCATAAATATGTGGAAAGCTAGTCAGGAAGAGGGGTGGAATGTGGTGACAGAATATCCCAAGTGCAATATTATTATCCCAAACAGGAAGGACTATGACCTGTTTTGGAATTAACTGAGTTTAAAAAATTGTTACTTCCCCTTTGCTTCTCTCCGATCGTAACTTCTCAATTTTAAGTTTTTATATTATGTGTATTAAAGGTAAAGGTTTCCCTTGCTCAAAAGCTAGTCGAGTCCGACTCTAGGGTTGCGGTGCTCATCTCCGTTTCAAAGCCGAAGAGCCAGCGCTGTCTGAAGACGTTTCCGTGGTCATGTGGCCGGCATGACTAAACACCGAGGCGCACGGAACGCTGTTACCTTCCCACCGAAGTGGTACCTATGTATCTATCTACTTGCAATTTCTTGCTTTCGAACTGCTAGGTTGGCAGGAGCTGGAACTAGAGACGGGAGCTCACTCCGTCATGCGGCACACTCGGGTCTCGAACTGCTGAACTACCGACCTTCCACAGCCTGCAGTTCAGCGTCTTAACCACTTGAGCCACCGCAGCTCCATTATGTGTATTAGAGTACTGTATATTTTGTTCTGGCTAATCAATTTAAAAAACCTTAAAAAACAGATGAGATGAGAATGATGTAAGCCACTGCGGAGAAAGACGATGGATAACTGCTGCAAATGAATACAAAACTATTTGTGGGCGCATGTGATACATGCGGTGTGTGAAGAGATGCTGAAGTGGGACTGCAGCGGAGGTGAACCTTGAACACAGGAATTCCTGCTTCATAGCTCATCTTCACAGCTCAGCACTGAGCAACGGCAGCTCTCACTGGGCCGCAGACGTGGCAGCAATCAGTCACCCCACAGAAACGAGCGTGACTCAGCAATACTTGCATGGAGAAGGTCCCAGGTTCGATCCCCAGACGAGCCCACATTTTTAAAAAATCTCAGTTAGGTGAGGGGCCATGGCTCCCTGGCACCTCTGTGTAAAAGAAGCAAGTCATCGTTGATGGAAAGATCTTTATCCAAGACCCTGGAGAACTGCTGTCAGTCAGAGCTTGCAAATGCTGACCTCAACGGACCAAAGGTCTGATTCAGTGTAAGGCAGCTTCATGTACTGAGTGAAAAGGAAAGACCTTTCTTTGCAGGAGGCCCTAGAGAGCTGCTGCCCATCACAGTACAAAACAACTACACTGTCTGGCCTGGCATGAGGCACGTATAGGCAACCGGGATTGCCTTCTTTCCATTGTCAGAAGGAAATCATAGAATCACAGAGCTGGCAGGGGCCATCCAGGCCATCCAGTCCCACCCCCTGCTAGAGATGTGAAGGCCTGGAAAAAAAACCGGAAAACTTTGGGGGGGAAAACGGGTTTTTTCCCGTTTTTTTCTGAAAAATTGGAAAAATTGAAAAAAGAAAAAAAATGATTATGGAACGTTTTATTTTAACATGATGAATAAAATATTTTAAGACAAGGTGTTCAAATATTTTCCAAATCATTTCTTAAAAAATATGTACGGTGTCAGATTGATCTAATTTCTGTGCACGGAGGACAAGCAAGTCCTAGGTTACAAACTGAACTCTCCAATGCAAGAACAAGATGCATTTCTTCCTTTAGGAGGTGCTAATGTCACAAGAAAAGAAAAAGGTTTCAGTTTTGTTTTTGCATGTGGGTGGGTATTCTGTTTGTAATAACTGTTTGGATACACTATATTTTTAATATGCTAGTTGTGATAATTTCATGCCAAGTAAAAATGTCCATAGTCATATTTTATGTTCCTAAAGTAACAGAATGACTTTCAATCTAGAAAAGACAAAAGAAATGCTAATGTAGCATTTTTTCAATTTTCCCAAAAATTTCCGTTCCCCCCGAAAAAAACCGGGAAAAAAACGGGGTTTTTCCGAGCTTCAAAATTTCCGAAAATTTTACATCTCTACCCCCTGCTCAGTGCAGGATCAGCCTAGAGCATCCCTGGCAAGTGTTTGTCCAGCTGCTGCTTAAAGACGGCCAGTGAGGGTCCCTAGATAGCTGATTATTCCATTGTTTTTCATAATATCCAGCTGGTACCTTCCCGCCCTTAATTTAAACCCATTATTGTGAGTCCTTTCTCTGATGCCAACAGGAACAGCTCCCTGCCCTCCTCTGAGTGGCAGCCCTTCAAATACTTCAAGAGAGCAATTGTGTGTCCCCCTCAACCTCCTCTTCTCCAGACTGAACATTCCCAAGTCCCTCAGCCTTTCCTCACAGGGCTCGGTCTCCAGGCCCCCGATCATCCCCATCGCTCTCTTCTGCGCCCGCTCCATTCTGTCCACATCCTTTTGGAAGTGAGGCCACCAGAACTGCAAATCAAGAATATTAGTATATATACTGACCCATTTAGAAACAACCAAGATGGAGGCTTGTCCCCTTTGACCTCTTTTAATTCCCGGGCAGCAAGTAACGTGTCGGCATGTCAACAGGTTTTGTAGCGAGGGCCGTCACAGGAAACAGAAAAGGACCCTCCGCCCCTGTCCTAAAACAGCACCCAACTCTCTATGGCAACCGTTCCTCCTAGCATGGGAGGGAAATCCCATTTGTGCACAGTCTCACAGATTCTACTGCGTGATCCTGCAGAGGTGATCTTGCTCCCCTGATCTTGTGTCGGGAATCCCCTATCAATTCCAGCCACGGTCGCTAGACCTAATTCCATCCTAAGGAACCCCAAATCAAGTCTCCCAAACAATTATTTTAGCTCTTCTTCGGCCAGGCAGAAAGTTCGTTCCCAGTGATTGGGGGGGGGGAGGAGCCTAGAAAGAGAGTCTCTTTCTGTAATGCTCTCCACTACAATAGGAGTGAATAGCCAAGCGGTCCCCCCCCCCCCCCCCCGCTGCCCCTCCCCCCAACAAACAAGGCTATTTGATGCGGTGGTGGAACTGGATGACAGCTTTCTCCTGGTCGGACGTCTCGATGGAGCCGGGCCGCAGCTCACGGATTTTGTGGATGGCATCCACGCCGGTAATCTTCTGGGTCTTCACGAGGTAGCATGCCAGCATGGTTCCAGTCCGGCCAAATCCCAGCATGCAATGCACCGCCACCGCCTGAGGGGGAAAGAGAAACGCAGAGCGATGTTCTGGGGATCGAGGCCAGACAATTTTATTTATTTAAAACATTTCCATGCTGCCTGTCCTCCCAAATGGGATCCCAAGGCAGCGGGCCAGAAAACGTCTGAATGTCAGAACAGCATTAATAGGCCCCAGCCTGGTGGAACTCTTTGCCAAGTAACATCAGGGCCCGACGGGATCTTATGCGATTCCACAGGGCCTGTACGGCCAGAGATGTTCTGCCAGGCGTTCGGCTGAGGACAGCAACGGTTGGCATAATGGCTGGCACCCTACCTGGACCCCTATGCCTTATGGAACTGATTCCCCCCCTGCACGTTTGAAGCACTCACAGACCAGGTACGGGAGGGAGTTGCAAAAACCTCCGCCACTTGCTTTTAATTACCGCATGTTGTTGGATATGGTTTCTATGTTTTTAGGATTCTGTACATCGCCAGAGCCTCACAATTGTAAATGGAATAATAAATGGAATAATAAATAAACAAACGGAATGTAATAAATAAATAATATATAACACAACTCAATGAAAACATATGAACACGCAAACAGACAACATCAAAACCGGGGGGGGGGGGGGGCCAAAAAAAACAAAAAAAACAAAAAAAAAAACCGGGGGGGGGGGGGAGGCCAATAACAGCTAACTGGGAGTCCACCAAATAACGAACGAAACAACAAGAGCTTTGACCTGCTGTGGAAGACAACAATAGAGGGAGACAGACGCATCTCCCTGTGGAGGGAGCTCCAGAGTTTTGGTACCATGACCAAGAAGGCCTTTCCTTGAGTTACCACCTGTCTAGCCTCAGATGGCTCTTGGCTAGGGGTGCAAGGGGGCAGGTGGGTCTTACAATGTTAGGGGGCAATGAGAGGATGGCTAATAGAGGACGATCCTGTGTTTCCTTCTGACTCAGCCTAAGGAATTTAGCAAGAATTGCACTATTTACGTCAGGGCTTTTTTTGTAGAAAAAGTCCAGCAGGAACTCATTAGCATAATAGGCCACACCCAGCAGCAGAAACTCATTAGCATATTAGGCCACACCCCTGACAGCACAGGTCATTAGCATATGAGGCCACACCCCTGTGTTACCAGAAGTGTGGTCACATCCAGCCACACCCACCTTTTGCTTCTTATTCTGTTTACCTTGTTTGTTGCCAAAACCCAGGGCCTTTTTTTGTAGCAGGAACTCCTTTGCATGTTAGGCCACACACCCCTAATGTAGCCAATTCTAATGCATTTCTACTCCTGGGTGTGGCCTGTTATGCTAATGAGTTCCTGCTGGGTGTGGCCAACTTGGGAGCCAGCCGGAACTCCGTTCCTGTGCGTTCCTGCCCAAAAATAGCCCTGATTTACGTGTACAAGACAGGGGGAAGAACCCTCTCCCAGGAATTCTATCTAGGTGGGAAGATTTCTAATTTGTATTCCAACAGGGCCTACCTGGTGTATGGTTGTCAGGTCCCTCCTGGCAATCCGTGGGGGATGGGGAGGGACTTACCAGAAGAAGGAGGGGAGGACCAGGTGACGTCACGGGCAATATGCTTACATCACTTCCAGCACGTACAGGAAGTGACCTTATCCCATTGCAATGTCCGGGTGACGCTCTGATATCTGGGCAAAAACTGTATAGTAAAAATGGCTTCTGCCGTATTTTGGCCAAATACCAGAGCGTCGCCTGGACATCACTGATGCGATGATGTCACTTCTGGTGCACATTGGAAGTGATGCCGGCAGGGCTATTTTTGGGCAGGAACGCACAGGAACGAAATTCTGGCTGGCTCCGAAGTTGGCCACGCCCAGCAGGAACTCATTAGCATAATAGGCCACACCCAACAGCAGAAACTCATTAGGATTGGCTACAATTAGGGGTGTGTGGCCTAACATGCAAAGGAGTTCCTGCACCAAAAAAAAGCCCTGGGTTTTGTCAACAAACAAGGTAAAGAGAATAAGAGGCAAAAGGTGGGTGTGGCTGGATGACCACACTTCTGGTAACATGGGGGTGTGGCCTAATATGTGAATGAGCTGTGCTTTCAGGGGTATGGCCTAATATGCTAGAGT